CAAACCAAACCAAACCAAACCAAACCAAACCAAACCAAACCAAACCACCAGACTTACAAGCTAGGAAGAGCAGTTTACTCAGTAGAGGGTTTGCTTTGCAAGCCTGAGGACATGAGTTTGATCCCCAGACCTAGTACAAACAAGTTATGGTGGCATGCACTAGAAAGGCAGAGGTGGGAGGATCTGTGGGACTACTGGTCAGTCAGCCTAGCATACTTGGTCTATTCTAGGCCACTGAGAGACCCTGTTTCAAGAAAGAGGTGGACGTGCACACAAACACACACACACACACTCACATATACACACACTGATTCACACACACACACACACTTGTTAAAAGTAATGGCGTTTACATGTTTGTGGGAGTGTGCTTCGGTGGCTCTGAGGACAGAGCCCTCTGTGCACCTGTTTCTCGTAGACATTTAGTTCTTGAATAAATGCAGGCAGAGAAGGCCAAATGCCTCCTGACCCAACATCCCATAATCTTTATGCCCGTTTACCACCGACAGCTCTCCACCCAGGGCTCCTTCCTCTCTTGTTCAAGATGTGGATGTGAAATGGGGTGTGAGTCAGGTCCCCCTGTGGAAGAGCGGGTTTGACCTGGTGCTGCCTCTCAGACAGATCCACGGTGCTGGTGCATGTGTGTGTCCGTGAGCAGGCAGGTCTGCTGCTGATGCCTCTTTGTTGCTGGCTCTCCCCACTGGGGATTGCCCGGCAGTGTGTTGCAGGTGCCATGTACATCACTGGCTTTGCAGAGTCAATCTCAGATCTGCTGGGCCTCAGGAACATCTGGGCTGTGCGAGGAATTTCCATTGCTGTGCTTCTGGCTTTGCTGGGCATCAACCTGGCAGGTGTCAAGTGGATAATCCGCCTCCAGCTGTTGCTGCTGTTCCTGCTGGCTGTCTCAACCCTGGACTTTGTGGTGGGCTCTTTCACTCACCTGGACCCAGGTAAGCCCCTGGAGTGCAGTGCTTTGTAGATACGGATAGGTGTGATTTGCAGGTACCCTCCCTTTCCCACAGGCTATACCTCTGACCAGGGTGGGCTGATTCTAGTCATGTGAACAGGTCCATCAGGGTGCAGCCCCTGGGCCCAGAAACCCAGAACCCTCTCCACAAAACACCCCCAAACACACACCCTACCTTTCCCTACCCTATCCTACCCTACCCTACCCTACTCTATTGAGACAGGGTTTCACTATGTGGCTCTAGGTGTCCCAGAATTTACTATGTAGACCAAGCTGACCTCAGACTCAAAGAGATCCACTTGCCTCTGTCCCTCAAGTGCTGAGACTAAAGCATCACTATGCTCAGAGGTGTAACCATTCAATGAACCCATCACAGGCTAATCCAGTGATTCTCAACCTATGGGTCATGTCTCCTTTGGGGGTCAAATGACCTTTTCACAGGGGTCACCTAAGACCGTCAGAAAACACAGATATTTACATTATAATTTATAACAGTTGCAAAATTTACAGTTATGAAATAGCAATGAAAATAATTTTATGACTGGGGGTCACCGCAGCGTGAAGAACTGCATTGAAGGGTCACAGCGTTAGGGAGGGAAAGAACCACTGGTCTACACGAACCCAGGGTTCCCTGAACTTCATGGAAGCCTAGCAGCATGAGTCCAGCGTCCCGGGTCTCTAAATGACATGGAGGTCGGTGACTCTGCCACTTTCTCATCTGTGCTCCTTCTCCTCAGCACACAGCTGTCACCAGGATGCTGTAGAAAACGCCTAATACTGTGTACTCCAGGAACTCTGTGTCTAATAGAGGCTCGTCTTTAAAGGGAGGGGGAGGGGACCAACAGGTGTGTTTAGAATGATCTGCAGCCCAGGCAGGGACCCATGATGCTGGTGGGGGGATAGTCACTGTGCCCAAGTACCTGCCATGGTGGACACTGTGCTGAAGATTTTCCACAGCTTGTCTTACGTAGCTCCCGCCAGAACCTTTTGAGATGGGAACATGGATACCACAGACAGAGAAAGGTGCTGTTTGTGCTAATGCATGGCAGGGCTGGGGTTTGAAACCAGACACAATGCTGTAGCCAAGCTCTTCCTGGGGTAGGAAGAGGCCTGTTTCATACAGCATACTTGTCTGCTCTCTGCGTTCTCCCTTTGAGGTCACTCCTGCACTGTGTTCTTCCTAGTCTTGCCTTTATAAACAAACAAACAAGCTGTGCACACCATTATACTTTTATTTTTAGTATGTTTCTTAGATTTTATTTTTATTTCTGTGACTGTATGTGTGCCTGTGTGTGTTTATGTCACAGGTGTGCAGGTGTCTGCTGGTATTGGATCTCTTAGATCTGGAGTTATAGACGGTTGTGAACTGCTTGGCATGGGTACTGGGAATCGAACCCAGGTCCTCTGGAAGAACAGCAAGTGCTCTTAACTACTGAGCCATCTCTGCAGCACCCCCAGTCTCGCCTTTTAAATGCTGTTGGCTGTAGACTGGTCAGAGTCAAGTTGGCACATACTACTATTTCTTCAGATATTATAGTTCAATGCCAGAAATGGCACATCCTCTGATGTTCCCCACTGACGTCCAGAAGGGCTGACTCCTAGACAGAAGGGGTCCTCAGGACCCACCCCAGTGCCAAGGACCTGGTGATTCCCTGGGCTCACCAGAAGGGCTGCAGCATGCTCTCTGGGGCTTCTGTGCTGGAGGGAAAGGGTGCTTTTTCCTGGCCTTGCATCATCCTGCAGCCACGGCTCTCACACTGAGGGAGACAGACAGGCCTTTGGCTGCTGAATTGTCTATGAAGGGAGAAACAATCTACCCTGTCCCCGACTCCCAGGTGCCCTCCCTTCCACTGACACAGTTGCTAAGAGACTGCAGTTGACTGACAAGACAGTGCTGTTGGCCACTTCAAACTTCACTAGACTCGTGTTTTCCTTCTCCATTGGAGACTTTCTTGGCTGCTCTTCTAAGTGACTCCAAATGCTTCTCCTTTCTGGTCAATACATTAGCAGGGTGTAGTTCGAGCTGAAATTTATTTTCAATAATTCCCATAGCAATGGGCATCATTTTTTTTTTTTATCAAGCAGACTGTTTTCCTTGTAGTTAAAAACCCCAAACTGAAACCAGACCATAAACTTTTACAATTGATTTAACAGAATGACCACAACTATTAAAGGGAAAAAAGGCACTTGAAAAAGGACTAGAAGCTAACTATGCCTGTAGGTTAACAGTGATTGCCTGTTGTTATGTGTAGCTATATTATTTCAGTTCTATGTTTCCTCTAGTTGGCTGGGGTTACTTTATTTCTCAAGATTTATTTACTTTTGCATTCATCCATCCATCCATCCATCCATCCATCCATCTATCCATCCATATGTGTGTTCCATCCATCCATCCATCCATCCATCCATCCATCCATATGTGTGTTTCATCCATCCACCCATTCATTCGTGTGTGTGTGTTTGTGTGTGTGTATGTATGTTTGTGTGTATTGCCTGCATGTATGTATATGTTCTGTGTGCATGCCTGGTACCTGTGGAAACCAAAAGAAGGAATCATTCAGAAACTCTGGACCTGGTTGGGAACTGCCATGTGGGAACTGAACCTGGATCCTCTATGTAAGAGCAGTAAGTGCTCATAGCTACTGAGCCATCTCTCCAGACTAGTATTACTTAAAAAATACATACATGCATGCATGCATACATACATACATACATACATACATACATACATACATACATATATGGAGCTGAAGAATTGACTGCTCTCATGTCTTTTTCTGGCCTCCAGGGGCATCAGGCACACAATGTAGTACACAGATTTACATGCAGATAAAACACTCAGCCGGGCAGTGGTGGCGCACACCTTTAATCCCAGCACTTGGGAGGCAGAGGCAGGCGGATTTCTGAGTTCGAGGCCAGCCTGGTCTACAGAGTGAGTTCCAGGACAGCCAGAGCTACACAGAGAAACCCTGTCTTGAAAAACAAAAAACAAACAACAACAACAACAACAACAAAATTTGGAAAAATTTTTAAAAAGACAAAAAATTTAAATCTAACGTGTACTATGGTTCCCCTTTATTTGTATTTTAAAAGTAAACACGACTATACTCTCAGGAAGCTGAGGCAGGAGGATTAGCATGAGTTCAAGATCAGCCTGGGCTACTGGGCTATATAGCCCTGTCTCAGAAAAGGAAGTGGGGGGGTGGAAAGCAAGCAGGGAAAGAAAGCTCTGTCATCTTATAAACACACCCCCAACACACATGAGACTGCTCTTTGTAGAGATGCAGATAAATTCTCCCTGACCTAGCTACAGTCCCCGCTCTGCTCTGAAGCATCTAGGGGGCACTCTTCTGTCACTCTGTTTTTATGAGATTATAATGTCATGTCCTCCTTTCCTCTTCTCCCTCCAAATCCTCCTATGTAATTGTCTTTCCTCTCTGTAACATGCATGGCCTCTTCTTTCATTAATTGTTGTTACGTGTGTATATGAACGTGCATGCACCTCAGCCCCCGTTACTGATCAGAAACACTTGGAGTTTAAAGTTCTCTTGTATATTTCAAATTTCCCTAGTTCCAGACCTTCCTTTTCTTCCTTTCTTCCTTCCTTCCTTCCTTCCTTCCTTCCTTTCTTTCTTTCTTTCTTTCTTTCTTTCTTTCTTTCTTTCTTTCTTTCTTTCTTTCTTTCATATAGAATATAATAGAGTTTATTCAGGGCATGGGGAAGGGAGTTGAGACGGTAGTAGAGGGAGGATGAGAGGGGGAAGGGGAGTGGGGAGAGGGGGGAAAGGGCAAGAGGACAGAGAGGGAACAAGAAGGCAAGAGAGTAAGAACAAGAGCCAGTTCTGGACCTTTACAGACATGGCTGATGTGGGCAGCTTGTTCAGATGTGTGTATGAGGAGGTCTGTTTCTTCAGGAGTGAGTCAAATAGAATTCACAGAAGGAGGGTCAAGTGCACTTTAAATTCTGCTAGGTTCTACCTTCTGATTAGATTGTTCTGAACTCACACTAGTGGGAGATAGAGTTACCAATTCTCTATCTCTTGGAGAACTTTGGGTAGGCATACATTTCTGCCATGTTAGAAAGTGTGCATTTCTTTTCTTTTCTCTTCTCTTCTCTTCTCTTCTTTCTTTCTTTCTTTCTTTCTTTCTTTCTTTCTTTCTTTCTTTCTTTCTTTCTTCCGTTCTTTCCTTCTTTTTTTTTTATTACTTCTTGTCCTGTCCAGCAGGGCATTAAACAGGGGTCCAGGGAGGTCACCTGAAAGAAAGTGGGGGTTGGGGGGAAACAGGCAAAGACACAAGGAGTGACGACCTATCTATAATCTGATCAGGATCAGATTGCAATTTTTACTGTTTTTTTTTTTTTTTTTTTTTGGTTTTTCAAAACAGGGTTTCTCTGTGTAGTCCTGGCTGTCCTGGAACTCACTCTCTGTAGACCAGGCTGGCCTCGAACTCAGAAATCCGCCTGTCTCTGCCTCCCAAGTGCTGGGATTAAAGGCATGTGCCACCACCGCCCAGCAACTTTTACTTTTTCACACAGGGGTTATATACACAAAAAAGCAGGATGTGAGAAAGGGGAAGATGCAGGAGCATGGGTGTTCAGGGGGAGTACAGATATCTTCCAGAACAGAGTGTCAGCTGGGTGAAGGTTCAGGGGACAGATCACTATGACTCCGCCTATGAATCACTTGTCTTTATACAAGTTGGTACTATCCACCAAGGTTACCTATCTACAAGGTCTATGACTAGCCAGATTTGGCAGCCTTCCATCAAAGCTGCCTGTTTACAATAACTTCTGGCCATCTGTTTCAGTGTTTTTCCACAGAGAGCCAAGACTTGGTGCTCACAGGCATGTAGGTCAGGCCTATTGCTGATTTTTGGCCTATGGCTGATTTTAGGGCCTTCAGTGTATAAGCAGGGCTACCCCTGACAATTCCCCCTCTCTCCAAATATAGAAGGACCATGGTGATTCTAATCTTGCAAAGA